TCTCTCTCTCTCTCTCTCTCTCTCTCTCTCTCTCTCTCTCTCTCTCTCTCTCTCTCTTGATCAAAAATTTTTGTTAATACGACCGGCAGGAACGCGGAAATAGCGATTGATTATTGATAAGATGCCGTATCGTGAGGAAGGTGACTCGAGGGATTTTCGTAACTACGCTGCTTAGTATGAACTTATCAATGAGATAAGTTACAACAAAATTTAGTGCGAGTCTAGCGAGATTCTTTTGGCAGCCTTGTATAATTTTATGTATAATACAAATGATAAAAACATATCCTTTTCTTATTATTATAGTTAAATTCCTTTTACTTTATTACAGATTACTAAATATATGTATGCATATCAAGAAATGGATAACAAAAGATGTTCATTTATGGTCTAGTAGTGAGATAATCTTCATACACGCGACTAATACTTATGAGATCGAATTCCACGAATTTTTCTCCTCTGCTCTCTCGCTTCTTCTCTTTCTCACTTTGACAAACTTCCGTATAATAATCACATTACACATTCGCCTTAATACTGTAACAACCAAACCAGCGCTTCGCGGCATATTAAATTTCTTCGTTAAGTAGTATTGTACTTCCGATTGTAGGACTCGTAATTATAAGAATAATTATATACTGTTAACCGAAGCATTTCACGACTTATAATAGAAGAATAATTAACCTATTTGCCTTTTTACATATTAAAGCTACAATGCTTGGGTGTGCAGCAGAAAGATTTCTATACAGAGAGGCGTGAGTACACAACTTACAATCTACCTCCATGAGAGTGTCATCTTACCTATACATGACATTTGTCATCTTATTCAGTTACCGTATATTTTTATTTAATTAATAAAACGTAATGCGAAAAATAAAGAAATATTAATATATTATTCGCTTTTAGTTATACAATATTACAATTTTATTATAAAAATGAAAGTATTTACTATAATTCCTTATATACAAATATTATAAAATTACAAGTGAATACATCCAAAACCATTTCTTAATATATTATCTATTTTTGTAGTCGGATTGAATTCAAACTATAAGACATTGTGTATTATTATATATTAAAGCTATTTTAATGAGTTAAGTATTTGCTTTTCATCTATTCTTATCTTTAAAAAATTAACAATTTATTATTTTATCCCTCTTCGTCATCTTATCCTCCTTTCCCCTATAAATTGTAAATCTTTCATTTTTTAACATATAATAATGTAATAAGAAATATTTATTAAACTTTAGTAACTATAATATTTATACCGTTGTCTTATACTTGAAATATTATAAAATATAAGCATATAGAAGAAAGTTTACTCGAAAGTTTACACACAACAAATGTTAAAATCAAAATAGTAATTATAAAATGTGTTAAAATATTATATATTGTATATAAAAGAATTAGACTAAGAGGCTACTATAATGATTTTATTACTCATAGCGACAACAAATATGGAAAGTGGGTGTAACCTTTTATTTATATGTAAAACATAAAAACCACACGCACGCACGCACAGAAGACGAATATATTGGGTTGCCGCAAAAGATTTAAATTTAATAAATGAAATTAAAAATTCAAATCTTCCGCGTTTCAATTTTCCTTCAAAATTGGCACGAATTTTCCGGACAACCTAATATATATATATATATGTATATATATATATATACACGCATGCATATAAGCTAGATCGCAGTCGCTTGAAGGGAAGGTGGGCTAAATGTTGCAGATTTTGATTTTTTTTATTGAAAGCGTCAAAATTAAATGTTGTTGCAATCAATAATTAATACCCTTATTTCAAAATAGGCGGACTCCCATATCCCTCAGAAGGGTGCAAGGGATCACCATACTGAGTTAAAGTGATAAATTTTTTCTGAAAAAAAAATCGATAGCGATAGGTAAAAAAGTTTTTGTCTATTACTTAATTTTGATATCAATGGATCTTTTCGATTGTCACGAAAGCAGCCATACCTATCCAAATATGAACAATTTTACATGGAATAAAAAAATTGTATGTATTCGGGTTAACTGTCTGACCATCCAAAAGGTATGAGAATCATATTTCTCGACAATTGATATCAAAATTAAGTAATAGACAAAAATTCCTATCACTATTGATTTATTTTTTTCAGAAAAAATTTATCACTTTGATGGCGATCCTTTACACTCTTCTGAGAGGTATATATGAGAATCTAGTCTTAGAATAAGAGTATTAATTATCGATTGCAATAACATTCAATCTTGACGCTTTCAATAAAAAAATTAAAGTTTTTGGAAACAACATTTTGGAAAGCTTCCGCGACAGGGCTTAAATATATATGTATTATTTTTATGTTTTACACGAAATAAAAGGTTCACTTCCCATACTTGTTGCTATGGATAACAAAATCACTACAGTGATACCTCTTGATCTAAATTATATAGAATTTTCTTATCTCTATTTCTCGATAGACGATATCACCTCGAATTTAATATTATGTTTTATCAATTGTTCGATCAGAGATGTTTTACCGAACGCAGCACCGGGCGTAAATACTCCTCCACTGTAAAAATATAAATACATAAAAATAAAAAACCAAAATTCAATATGTAACTACATGTAATTACGCACAACAATTAGGGAATCATTTTAAAACTTGCATATTTTGTCTATATTTAAGAAACGATTTATTTTGAGAATTCTATATTTTGTAAAATTTTGCAACTCGATGTGCACTATGGCAAGATTGCTCGGTTACAATTTGCACATCGTGTGCGTGCGTGCATGCGTGCGTGTTTCGAGCTGTAAAATATCGGGAAATTGATGAACCACGGGATTCTTATCTCTGACTGTGTTCACACACGCATACACGCTACGCACACATGATGTGCAAATTGCAATCGAGTAACTGTGGTGCACATCGGATAATGCGAATGCCGACAGTAATTATTCAAAAGCTTGCAAAATATAGGGTTTCCTTGGAACCTAAAAACTCAACTTCTAGGCATGCTAAAGTAATCATCGAAATCTCATTATAAAGGAAAAGTTTCAGACTTTAAAATGTAGATATTGAGATTTTTTGACTTGTTCGTATTTTGCATGAAAAGTTGCAAAATCATGAAATTTTAACACGACTTGCTTCTGGTCTTCGCGAAAAAAGATCATTTGATAGGGCGGCAAATATCATATGAAACTGTTTCATTGATATTAAAGTAAAAGTTTCACTCTTTAAAACGCACCCAAAAAAATTGTCCTGCGATTTCTGGAACCAGAGATATCGTTTCTTAGATAAACGATAAAATTTGCAGGTTTTAAAGTGATCTCCTATTGTGCGTAGTGTATAATTGTCTTTCAATTGTCACTAACCCTCAATTACATGAGTGAGTCATTTGGACTCGGGTAAAAATTTTAGTCGACCGCTATTTTTGTATGGTTAATATTGCAGAGTTGAAGTAAAAAATTGAAATCTTTATCTGTCGATCGTCGTAATGCAATTGTTTCGTTGTTGTCTTAATGCTAATTGTAATGCAAAAATTTAGGCGACTTGGATCTGTCGAATTCGACAGATTTTTGCCGAAAATGGAAATTCATGTTTAATAAGTTTATTAATGCTATATTCAAGTTTATTTATTGTCTTCTATAATTAAAACATATATTGTCAAAAAAAGCATTTTTGCGAGAGGCGTCTTGGTGAAACGATCGCTCTATCTTTTCGAAGTTATAAAATCATGAGTAAATATCGACGTTATTATATATTTAAAATATTTTCAATGCATTTTTAAAGAAGAAAATACCCGACATATTTTCGATATCATTATTCTGATCTTCTGTATAAAAATACCCCCATTTCACTTGTGCAAATAATTAACTTTTTGGAATAAATCAATATAATGTATTTGTTTTTCTTAAAGTTCATATTCTCCTCTTTTCAAAACACTTATTTTTATTTATTCTTTTTTTTATCACAAATAAAACTCACTTTTTGAAAAAACTCATTATTACACTCTTCATAAATTGTTCTTTCATATTTTTTGGCATAACTTTTTTAATCATTATCAAAATCTTTTTATGTTTTGATAATTTCGATTCTGACATTTTATTAGAAGAAAAAATATTTTCCATTGAGATTTGTGATAATTACAGAATTACAATCAAAAATAACTTGGATCCAAACATGTAAAATAAAACTCTAAAACGAGATATGTAGTTGAAGGTTAATTATCTTATACTATTAAGAGAATAATTTTTAAATTAAAAAAAAAATGATTATTATATAGACATAACAGTTACAATAATTAATAATTTACTAATTTACTAACTTGTCAGGTATTTTATCAGTTTCATTAAGGATTGTTGTTGCCGATAAGATCGCTGCTATGCTAGTCATCTCATATGCAGGAGAATCACCAGAGACTTTGGTGATTACTTTCTTATTAGGTGGATCTGTGTGTTCATCGGTAGGTTCAGACAATTTTTCAGTCCATCCACTAGCTTTGAACGTAAGAGAAAAATGTGTCGATTTCTGCATTTCCGGATTTGGATTCTCGTGACTTACGAAACCGTATGAAAATAGAGCCGGATACTGCAAATCGCAATTTATTGTATTATTTAAATGATTTTGACAATCGTGAAAGTACTTGCACACATACTTTTAGAAGTAAATTACGGCCGCATGATATGCGAGACAAAACTAACAAAAGCATACCAGCAATAGCCATAATCAGGAATTCGAAGAAAGACCTAATAATAAGTGTATAGACTTTAACAAAAATTATTTGTCAATATTCATTTCTATCGGTATCATACTGACTTCAATGTAACATAAACTTTAACTTGCGCAGGCCTCTTTTTATACTTGTCATATAAAAACCGCTGTGTGCGAAGAGCTACTGAATGATCGGCACTCGGAAATGGTGTGGACCATCCTTCAGAAACATCGCTTCGGTGCAACACACTTCTGCAAAATAAATGGAATTATTTACCCTACTTATCATTAATATAATTACTATTTTTCTTTCTTTTATCAATATTACACTAACTTGTATATTTTCTAAACATTTAATATGAAAAATGAAAAAATTTACTTATGTTTAACAAAATGTGATTTATATATGCAAGACATAAAATATAAAATATTATATTTATATATGCAAGACATAAAATATAAAAAAAACCCTACATACCTTAATTTTAGTTTCGGTGTGAATTCAGGCAACTTAATAGGATATAATTTTGTGCGTAATGCCTGTATTTCTTTTACATGAGCCAAACTGTGTACTGCAGATTCCCAAGTTGCATAATTAAGTAACGGACCTTTCTTATCAGTGCTTAACCACATGCTTATGTATATTTCAATAGCATTCATTTCTCCTTCAAATTTCTGTTGCGTAAAAATGACTCCCAAATCACTAGGAATACAGTCAAAACCACAAGCATTTACTATGTAAACGCCAGCTTCTTTTGCTGTTTCGTTATATTTTAATTGCATTTCAATCATAAACTATAAAATATTGAAGATATCAGAGAGAGACATCATTAATCATTGTACTGTTGCACAAAAGTTGTTAAATTACCTGTTCTTCACCAGTGACGTCAACATAATGAGTACGAGTAGCAATGCATGTTTTGATAACTGGTTCTCCATAAAATTTGTATGGACCGCAACAATTGATAAGTACCTTTGCTCGTTCTGTCATTTTCTTGAGAGATTCCTCATCTTTTATGTCAGCCAGAATAATAGGCACGTCCTCTGATAAGATACATGTAATATAACATTTGCTAATAATAAATAAAGTGACTTTACTATTATTGATTGGAATAATTAGTTCTGAGTTTTAAACGTACCAATATCTGAGACAAATTCCTTAACAACTACATCTAAAGCTTCTTTCCTACGACCAGCAATACCAAACTTCATTTTCCGATCCTTACACATTTGAGATGCATTTTTCACTACATATTTTCCAGTATATCCAGTGGCACCAAATATTATTATATCTAAACGATCATCTGCCATTTTTTTTGTAACCTATAGCAAAATATCATTAAAATCATCAATATTTTTTACAATTTTATATTTCACTTAACAAAAATATCTTTTATTAATATAAATCTTATAAAAAATTTAAAAAATGCTCATTAATATATTTATCAGAATTCATTAATTTTTTTATTATATTGAGAGTGTGCATGTTAATTTTAAAGGATTTTCAAGATGCGTAACTAATACTGTTGCATCGGGCAATATTATTGCTATCTTCATGTTCAAAGCACCATCATGTGACTTTAGTTTCAGTCATTTTATCAAAGTCATTTTGTCAAAGTGTAAACAACATTGTTTTTTTGAGCATTGAATATGTCAAATTTTGTGCCAACAAAGCGCAATTTGCGGAAAATTTTGCTTTTTTGCTTCCATTTGAAGTGCTGCTAAAAATCAACGAATACTATCAGAATTATGATGATTATACTCAATTGATTCAATATGTAAGTACTGGTTTCGACGCTATAAGGTAATTGTGATACGGAAAGCAAGGAACATCCAGATCAACCGAAAAAGTTTGAAGATGAGAAAGTGGAAGCTCTACAAGACCCGAGTCAAACGCAAGAAGAACTTGCAGAATTATTAAATATTGATCGATCAACGATTTCTAGACATTTGAAGGTCATTGGAATGATTCAAAAGCAAGGAAATTAGGTGCCATATGAGTTGAAGTCAAGGGACATCGAAAGGCGCAAAATGACGTGGGAATTGTTTCAAAGACAGAAGAAAAAGTTTTTTGCATCGTATCGTGACGAGTGATAAAAAATGGATACGCTACGATAATCCAAAGCGTAAAAAATCATGGTGCAGGCTAGACGAATCACCAATATCGAACGGCAAATATTCATGCGCCAAGCTTATGCTCTGTATTTTTTGAGATCAGCTGGATGTATTATGAGTTGTTCCAACCCAACGAAACCATCACTGGAGTTATCAATAATAATTGATGTAATTGAGCCGAGCGAAGCAGAAACGACCAGATTACGCGAAAAGACACAACAAAGTGATTTTCCAGCACAACACTCGGCCACGTGTTGCGAAACCAGTCAAGAAAACGTTAGAAATTCTTAACTGATATCCTATCACCCGTCGTATTCTCCAGATATTACTTCTTCCGGTTACTACCTATTTCGATCGACTCATGGCCTATCGACTCTGAGCAGTGATTCTTATGAAGATACCAAAAATGGGTCAATTCGTGGAGCCTCAAAAGATGTATCGTTCTTTCGACGTGGAATTCTTATTAGAAAAATGGCAAAAGTAGTATCTATGAACAATATTTTAAATGATCAATTTGTAACCATTTTTTTCACAATAAAACCGTATTTTTACCAAAAAATCCCTTAAAATTAATACACACCTCCAATATTATTTTGTTCTTATTTAACTCGTCGTAAACTAAATGAAAAAGTACCTAAATCTAAAAGTACTTCATAAGATACAACGAAGATCACTAAATAAATACTATAAATAAAATATTCAGAATTATAATAAAATTATGTTTATTAAAATTTTAATCAAATTAATAATAATTTTCAATAAAAAGATCAATGTGTCAGGTAGACATACTTGTGACCAAGCTCACGCCGAGTTAATTATATATATATATATTGGGAATACAAATTAGTTCGGTACATTTCCCTAAAGATGGCTTCAGCTGTTGTGAATGGTTTATAGTGATAGCTGATTTTGGCGATTTCAGAGAGGTTAAACATCTGCTAATAATATTCAGTTTATATCGTTTTAAATTTCATACAAAAACCTTGATTTTTTATTGTTTGAAACGTCGAATTTTATGTTAACCAAGCAACATTTGCAGGAGGTTTTGATTTTCTGCTTTAATTGGAAGAAAAGTGCGGCCCATCGAATGTTTGTCGAAGTTTATGTCGAAGTTTATACTGCTCCAACTGATAAATCAGGGAAATGTAGGGAATAATTTCGACGTTTCAAGGATGGAGATTTCAGCGTTGAAGACAAGCCTCGCTCTGGACAATCAAAAAAATTCGAAGATAAAGAATTAGAGGCATTACTCGAAGAAGATCAGAGTCAAAGAGGAGCTTGCAGAATTATTGGGGGTAACTCAACAAGCCGTTTCTGTACGATTGAGAGTCATGGGAATGATGAAAAACAAGGAAATTGGGCCTTATGAATTGAAACCGAGAGACATTGAAAGGCGATTTTTCACTTGCGAACAGCTGATTCAAAAACAACAGAGAAAAGGTTTTTTGCATCGGATTGTAACTGGAGATAAGAAGTGGATATTCTACAACCCGAAAAAAAAATACTACACTAAACCCGGTCAATCGTTGCTATCGACCTCATCACGGCCGAACATTCATGGTTCGAAGATCACGCTTTGTATCTTGGTGAGACCAAAAGGATCTTGTTTACTATGAGCTGCTGACCTGGCGATTCCATTACGGGCGATAAGTATCGGTTACTACAATTGATTCAGTTTGAGCCGTACATTGCGAGAAAAACGGCCGAGAAAGATATGATAAAGTTATTCTTCTTCATGACAACGCTCGGCCTCATGTCACTAAAGTCGTAAAAAAATATTTGGAAACGCTCAAATGGGATGTTTTACCGCACCCGCCGTATTCTCCGGATATTGCTCCTTCTGATTACTGGTCGAAGGATGCAGCAAGTTACCGATTCACTTCTTTCGTAGAAATCGAAAATTGGCTCCAAAATTGGATCGCCTCCAAAGACGAATCATTTTTTCGAGATGGAATTCGAAAATTGCTTGAGAGATGGGAAAAAGTAATAGGCAGCGATGAACAATACTTTAATTGATCTGTTCATTCATTTTGTTTTGAAATAAATGCATTTTTGAACGGACCGAACTAATTTGTACTCCCAATATATATATAAAATTATTATTAAATAAAAACAAAGTAACAATATAATGAAAAATAAATAGAAATTGTTTATGTTAAGCTTAACTAAAGGCTTCAA